CAATATAACATTGCATGTTCCTCACTACTACATTAGTGTATTTCATTCTGTCATATTTGCAAACTTGATGTAAAATTTTTATTTTAATTAATTAACCTAATACTTTCTTATAACACACATAAAAACAATGAAAAAACAGTTCAGACTAACAATTCATTAAAACAACAAACTAACATAGATCTCTATTCTTGTGCTGTTCTTAATTCTGGAATCAGCCTGTGTACATCTGTTGGCAGACATATCCATGCTCATTCCCTAAATTGATCATATCTCTTGAAGTTATCTGATTCTTATAACTTTCTGTGTCACACTGCATTGCTTGTCTGTCTCCTAATTTCGATTTAGCTAAAATTGCTTTTATTTGTCTGATTATCAGTTTACAAGGAAAGGCTTTTATTGATTTATCTCCACGTGTATTTTCTCTGTCAAAATTTTCAATCAACAAATTTAATTTCTCATTTGCTTTTGATTTGATATCTCGGATAAAATATCTGCAAGATCTTAAATAATGTTGTTTATTGCACCAAAAACAAATTACTTTAGGAGTTATATTCTGCCTTTGATTTGAACAAATTGGGAGGGGCTCAGCTGTCTGTATCACTCTTTTACACTCTGTCCTAGAAGAAGGAGGAGGAGGGGGACGAGGGCTGTAAAATCTGCACTTCTTTCTCTGCCTAATTCCACAAGTCGTTTTAACCCCTTCATTATTGGTTTCCCTCCTTAAGTTATCCAAGAACAAAGCTACCTCTGTCAAAGTGCTTTTTTCTCTAGCTAACACAATTGCAGTTGGATCTAGATCTTGAAATGTTTTCACAAATTCATTAATTAACTGATTTTCAGGAAAATTAGCAACAAGTCTATATGCATTTTCAAATTTTACAAGAAAACTAAATATATCCTCCCCCTTGTGTGGTTTTAGTTTTTCCAACATTTCAGTGTCTGCAAAATCATTCCCTGTTGTTAATTTTATTAATTGTGTTAATCTGTCTCGCTTATTTCCATATATTATTTCATTATTGTCCTCAAATTTTACAAGCGTGGTCAGCCTACATGCCATTTGAGTCGGCAGCCATGTTTTAAATAGTCTATTCCTTTGTTCGTCATTTAGGCTGTATTTGTCTAAATTAGACTCAAACATTTCAGCATTAGTAAATGCATCCACTGACATGTCATAAACTGGAATACATTTCACAATTTTCAGTAATTGTTCATGGATTTTCAGATTAAGTTTTGCAGTTCTGTCTTGGAATTTACATTTCTGCAAATCACTCTGTGAGGATACATTTTCAGTATCTGTTGGTTCTGGGATTAGATTCTGTGCCTTTATTTTTCTTGTATTAACACACTTGCTTAACTTCATTTCTAAGCTGGCAAATAAGATCATTTCTTAGTTCAACTCTATCCTCTAATTCACAGACTGTTTCTGACAATGTTCTCTCTGTTACATTGTTACACTGTTCATTTAAATCTGATTTGTCTTCTGTTAACCCATTCAAATCTACTTCATCTGCTGATTCTAAATTGTCTTGACCTGCATCTCGTTTATAAATCAATGCATTGTAAGTACAGACTAGTTTCATAACATTTCTAATCTTTTGTTTTTTCTTATTAACAAACAATTTCCTGTCAATTTCACTATTGGCAATTTCACATTGAGTGTATAAAGATTGCCACAATACAGCATCTGAATAGCTGCTATTACTTGAAAACTGCAATTTACTTTTCTCTGCAATATCATTTATGAATTCCATGTTATTCACCAGATCAGTTATTTCTGTCTATTTCGTTGCTTCATCCACACAGCTGCGCAGTTCTTTGCTTGGATCTGGATGATTGCCAATCTCTGCCACGTGCTTGCTTCTAGAATTCACGTTGTATCTTGTGCTTTTTGTCTCAGTTGTAGAAAATAGTCTTGTACAGTCTTTGTGATTTGAAAACTTTCTTTTTCTTACAAACCACAATTCTTCTGACAGTCAGTCTAGATTCTTTTTTTTCTCTTCAAATTTGTTTTCCCAGTTCCAAAATAGCTTTGTAACTCGATTCTTCTCTATCCCCCCTTGAAGTGGGAACAAACCTTGAATAGAAGACTGGCTGGCTGGCCAATGTAAAATGTGGATGAGAATTGGGGTTAATGTAGAATCTTCTTAATTTCTTCTTATCTTCAGTTGATTGATATATATACGTCTTTTGTATATATATTCTTGGGCCAAATGCTCGCCACAATAATATATGTCTATATTATTGAAAAGTAGTAATACGCAATCTGACTTACGGTTTCTTCAGGTTTATTCTTAGTTACGGATACATAATAAAACATAATAAATTATGTAACAGGATTATGGACATTCAACAGCAGATGGTAATTGCTGGACTTCTTATGGGAGAGTTACATCGTTGTACAGAGCCAAGAGCCAAGCCAAGACAGAGAGCGACCTCGTGTCCCTCTGTTACTATATAGATGTGCTAATACTAACGTCAGCGTTTAACTCTTGCCATATAAGGACAAGACCCCCGAATCCACATTCCAGAGCTCTCGGACAAAGAAAGCCTTGTGACTTATTGATACCATCTGTTACTTATGTCAATCCACACATCCATATATATAATCAATAGAAACATAGAATATGCAATATTCTACAACAACCCGTTGGTGTGGCTGAACAGGGTGTCAGGAGACAATGCCAGGCTGCTGCGCTGGAGTTTGGCGCTGCAGCCTTTTGACTTTACAATCCACTATCACCCTGGGAAGCAAAATGGCAACGCTGACGGGTTGTCTAGACAAACAGACTTGGAGCCGTGATCTGTGAGTACTCCTCCGGACATCCCACAAGACTGTGTATGCCGGCTTGGTTCTGGGGGAGCATTGTGGCAAACCTAGCCACTTGGACATTATTTCTGTACTGTCTCTTTAAGGGTTGCCGGTATGGGGTTCATGTTATGTGTTCCAGCGTGTAATGCAATGTAATGTTAATGCTGTATTTCTTACCTGGGCTATCTGCCGAACGCAGATAGCTGATTCCCTTTCGTTTCACGAATGGCACCTTTGCGGGCCGTTCGGGAACCGAACAAAACACCAGTTAATAGCCCACACACTTAGAGGCGTGTGGCGCCTATTAACCGAACACCGCTGAGCTTCCAGGCCGTTCGGGAGGTCCGGGACATTCGGTATTTTGTTCCCTTATATGCAATCAGTATTTTAAAACTATGTTTTGGTGAATGTGTTTTTCGTACGGCGTTTGGTTGTTTTAGCTGGGATCTGAGCGGTAATCTCATGAATGATGCGCTCAGACCCCAGCTATCTACCGAACATCCATTCGTTTAAATGAACCAGATATTCATGAAGTTATGGAATTTAATGTGAATTGTAAGTTCTGCTGCACGGAGGGATAATCCACTTAACGGTACATTCCTGTGGGAGGATCCCTCTCGTGCGGCAGTGCCTGATGGGAGAAATGTCCTGTATTGTAAGTCCCCCATGTAGTCCCTTCTGGGAATGCCCCTGGGAGGGGACTCAGGAAACCCCTTGCATGGGGACTTGTATAAATTGTGGAGCTGAATTAAAAGACCTCAGTTGACTCCCAGCCTATGTGTCGTCTAGTTCTTGGGAAGGAAGGGTTACTGCAGTGCTGTTTGGATTATGGTATGCTGATTCCCTGGATTATCCTTTGTTGTTCCTGTTACCCAGCGGAGATATCGTGGATTATACTTCCTCTCCGCTACATTGTATTATCTCACAGAGAGGATATATTGTATTATAGGATGACAGAGAGGATATATTGTATTATAGGATCACATAGAGCATATATTGTATTTGTGGCAAACCTAGCCACTTGGACTATAACCAGAGACTATGCCTTTAAGGGTTGCCTATAGGTCTGGGGAGATATGCGCTTTACTCTATATGTGTATGCTTTATGTATTCTCTGCATTGCCTGTAATTGTCTTTTCCGTCGAATGCAAATGGCGGTTTGTATAGGGGTTTTCTTTCGTTTCACGAACGGCACTTTGCAGGGCCGTTCGTGAACCGAACGCAATCCCCCTAATCAGGGCCGGATTAAGAGCACACTGGGCCTGGTGCTGACAAATATGATGGGCCTAATTACGGAATCTTATCGACCAAAAACACTAAAACAGTCCTACCTCCCAAGCGTCATGTATCTGATGGAGATGGTGCTGGAGGGAAGCTCATAGGATGCAGCTATAAGAAAACACATACTCTATGCTAATCTCTCTCTAATTTATGCTTTCATCTTTCAAGTAAATCCATAACCCCTAACAGCAGTGTCCAGTGAAGCAGGAAGTCAATGTGCAGGGTAAAAGAGTGTGCCACTGGTGCGAATCACGTGACCAGGCCTGCCAAAAGGCCAAAAAGGGGCATGTCTGTCCAAAGAATTTGAAGGACAAACTGGCATGAATGCATGTCAGGCTGCCTGCCAATCCTGCAGGCTGTCCAACTAAGGGCATACTATGAAGGCAGCACCATGAGCTTGACATAAATGCATCTAATGATGCGCTCACTCCATGCTTTCTAAGGACTGTCCCCTAGCACTCGCTGGTCCACTTGTCTCCTTGCCTTCTTACTAGCAGGCAGAAGTTCCTGGTATAGTCTGAGACAGAGAAAAGGTGTATGTAGTGAGTGTAGAAGAAAGGGCACATGCCACAGTGTTAGAGATACCAGCGTCTGCATTACCTAAACTAATTTTATTGTCAGCTAGTCCACATAAGTTTTGTTCCCATACATCCCTCTTAAGCTTCCAAACTTAAAGGGACACTATAGTCACCAGAACAACTACAGCTTATTGTATTTGTTCTGGTAAGTAGAATCATTCCATTCAGGCCTTTTGCAGTAAACACTGTCTTTTCAGAGAAAATAACTCCACTGGCCGCTCCTTAGATGGCTGCTAGAGGTGCTTCCTGGGGGCAGTACTGCCTAGTGTGCAGCACTGCCATTCAGTGTCTCCACCCTCTGCATGCAGACACTGAACTTTCCTCATAGAGATTCATTGATTCAATGTATCTTTATGAGGAGATGCTGATTGGCCAGGGCTATGTTGGACTTGTGCTGGCTCTGCCCCTGATCAGTCTCACCCAATCCTATGAGGAAGTATTGTAATTTGCTCAGACCACCACTTCTGATGATGTCAGCAGACAGTCAAGTCAGAGGCAGAGATAGTCAAGTCAGAGGCAGAGCCAGCAGTTACTATATTTAGGGAGGCAAGAAGGGGCCAGGGTGGTGGTTTTAACATAATAGGGTCAGATATACATGATTGTGTTCCTGATCCTATAGTGCTCCTTTAAGCAAGAGTATGTGAAGAGTAGTTAGGGTTGCCACCTTTCTTGGAAAAAAATACCAGCCTTAATAATTTGTATAATTAGTTATGCGTGACATCACATGATGTAAATCACAAGAAGTGACATCAGAGAAAATTCTGTAAAATCACCAACAAACTACTTACAGTTTGATTCTGCTGTATAGATGGATTGCTCCCAGTGTCTCAGTCTCGCAAGTCACCCAGTGTCTCAGTGTCCCTATGTCGCCCAGTCCCCTAGTCTCCCAGTGTCTCAGTGTCCCCATTTTTCCCAGTGTCCCAATGTCTCAGTATGTCCCCATGTCACTAGGATACTGGGGACACAGTGAGACATAGGGACACAGGGACATGGGGACACAGAGAATGGGGGACACAGAGAACGGGGGACACAGAGACCTGGGGACACAGAGACATGGGGACACTGGGAGACATGGGGACACTGAGACATTTAGGGAAACTGGGAGAAATGGGGACACTGAGACACTAGGGACACAGACAATGGGAGACATGGGACACTGAAACATTTGGGGACACTAAGACAATAGGGACACAGAGACATGGGAACACAGACACTGGGAGACCAGGGGACACTGGGAGACATGGGGACACTGGCTGGGAGACAGACACTTGGGGACACTGGGAAACATGGGGACAGTTGTGGACATAGACATGGGGACACTGGGACATATAGGGACACTGGGAGACATGGGGACACTAGGCACACTGAGACACTAGGAACACAGACATTGGGAGACATGGGGACACTGAACAATTTGGGGACACTAAGACACTAGGGACACAGAGACATGGGGACACTGGGAGACTATGGGACACAGACACTGGGAGACTTGGGGACAGTTGTGGACATAGACATGGGGACACTGGGACATATAGGGACACTGGGACACATGGGGACACTAGGCACACTGAGA